GAGAGAGAGAGAGAGAGAGAGAGAGAGAGAGAGAGAGAGAGAGAGAGACAAAGGAATCACAGAATGTGGGAAGGGCCATCTGTCCAGGGACATGTGGGAGCTAGTAGTGGGAAAAACCAAATGTCAGAAATTGTGAAAGACTATTTCCTTTCAGTTGGCATCCGGGGTTCAGAGTCCGGGAAGGGCCCTGGCCAGCGTGAGGCCCTCTCCCTTCCCTGCTCCCCAGCCCTGTTCCCTTTGCCCCTTTGCCTGCCAGCTCATCCCAGCTGCTCTCTGGCAGGTCTTCCCTCCCTCCCGGCCCTCCCCTCCTGCTCCTCATCTCGCTCTTTCCCACAGCCAGAGCAGGGACATTTCCTTCCTCTTACACGGTCTACCTCTGCCCACCCCAGGGACATACACGAGGGCCAAGCTCAGCTCCACCTGGGCATGGGCTCCGTCTCTTGTAGACGCCTCTCTGATTCCTGCAGCAGTAACCTGTACGTAGAAGGTACTTAATTCGCTGAACAGTCTGCAGTAGCCTGACCTGGCCCCAGGGTGGTGAGGCTACAGGCAGGCTGTCCCCTGAAGGCTCATGGTAGAGTTTTATTTGCCTAGTTTTTATTTGTTTGCTCTTTTAACTGAATTAGCTGCCATACTTAAAATCCAGTACATAAAAGTGAACTCAGTAGCCTATATGCCAGCTATTCACAAGGTTGATCAGTTGAGCCCAGGAGCTTAAGACAAGGCTGGAGAACATACTATTTTAGACCTCATCTAAAGAAAGAAAGAAAGAAAGAAAGAAAGAAAGAAAGAAAGAAAGAAAGAAAGAAAGAAAAGGTGGCTGGGGAGATAGCTCAATGGTCTAAGTGTCTGCCTCGCAAGCACAAGGACCCAGGTTCAATCCCTGGTACCGCATGCCAGCACTGGGGAGGCTGAGAGGAGGATCACTACAAGTCTGAGCTGCATAGTGAGCCCCTGTACCAAATAAAAAAAACTTCAAGAAAAAGAAAAGTGCCAGGGAGGTGGCTCAGTGGAATAAGCACTTCCCTGGCAAGCACAAGGGCCTGAGTTCAATCCCTGGTTCCACCAAAAAAAAAAAAAAAAAAAAAAAAAAAAATTCTATGTCAACAGCTGTGGGACAGCAGCTTCCTTCTTCACAGGGGTAGTGACTTTCCACGGTGCCCTAATCCTCATCACTCTTAGGGTATCCTCAGCCCTCAGGGAGAGAGGTGCTTTCATTAAATGAATGTCCTTTGTCGTGTGTGTGTGTGTGTGTGTGTGTGTGTGTGATACTGGGGATTGAAACCAGGAGTCTTTATGCTGAGCTATATGGCCAAGCCCTTTTTCATTTTTTATTTTGAGAGAAGTTCTTGCTTAGCTGCTCAGTTGGCCAGGTTGGACTCAAATATTTGCCCCTCCGCCTCAGCATGCTAGTGGTGGGCTTACAGGTGTGCACCACTCTGCCCAGAGAATCTTCACTCCTGATGTGCTCACAGCCACTGAATGGCAGGTGGTGAATTCTTTGCCTCTTAGGCTGTGTCCCCAAGTTTAGAGTACGCCACAGGAGGGTGATGTTTTCTGTAATTATCACCGTGGTTGAGCAATTACTTTGTGCCACGGCTGCTCCAACTACTCGAACCTGCAGTGACCACTCAGGACTCCAATATTACCAGAATCCCAAGGGTGCAGGGGACAAGCCAGCTGTACATAGCTTTCTGTACTCTGACTTTGGAGCTCCCGTCGCTTCTAGCCATGACTGCTGCTCAGGTGGCCTCAGGCGAGTAGCATCTCCCTTCATCCTGCTCCAGAGTTGGAAAGGGGTTGAAGAGGACAGAGCAGCCCTGTGCGGCCGAGCTGGCCTTCAGGAACACTTTGGGTGTCTTGCTTCTCGGAGGCCAAGGCTGGGCTGGGCTGAGGAGATCCCCAGATGCCAGACAAGCTCATGAAAAGATGCTCAACCTCACGAATCGTTGGGGAGATGCAAATCATAACCCCAGTGACGCTCCGCTGCACACCCATGAACATGGTTATGCCATGTTTCCCCAGAGCAAGACCTAGCTGGAAAATAACCAACTTTGGAAGCTAGAGATAAAAAAATCCAGCCCCCATCAGTCCCTCCAGCCCCAGCCAGCCAGGCAGAACGGGTTAGGATTCTGGGGAGACAGGGGTGCGGCTCCTAGAGTCGCCACAGCGTGCGGGCGGGCGGCACGCGCTTCCTGCGCGGGCTCGGATTTCGTCGCCGCGTGCTCCAGGCGTCCCCGACGGTTCTTCGCCCGCCAGGGCCCGGACCCGGACAGCGCGGAGCCCCAGGACGGCGCTCCGACCAGGGAGAAGGCGCTCGAAGGGTTCCCGGACCCCTGCGGTCGGCCCGCGAAGGGGAGCTGAATCCCCGCGGGGTGGCGCGCTGGCCCTTGGTCTCGCAGTTCGCAGTGCAGCTGCAGGGCGCGCACCCCGCCGAGCGCCGGGAACCCACGTCCTTCTCTGAGCTCCGCGGGCGGCAGCTGAAGGGCTGGCCCTCCTGCCTCCCGCTGGGGAGGAGCCCAAACTCAGGCAAACTGGAATCTCAGTGTCTTTTTTCTTTTCTTTTTTTCTTTCTTTCTTTCTTTAAAAAAGAATAATAGGGCCAGCGAGATAACCCAGCGGACTAAGTGCCTGCTTAGGCAAGCTCTGGTATTGGGTTCGATCCCCAGCACCACTTGCCACGTGCGCCCTGCACCCAAGCACGCTGAGCCGGCCATGGGGTAGTGGCGCACGACTGTAATCCAGCGTTGGGGAGGCTGAAAACAGTAGGATCGCTACAGTCTGAGATGTGTAGTGAGACCGTGAACCAAATACATTAAAATAATAATAATAATAATAATAATAATAATAATAATAACTACTGGGGCCAGGCGTGGTGGCACAATCCTATAACCCCAGCACTTGGGAAGCTGAGGCAGAAGGATCACCATGAGTTCCAGGTCAGCCTGGGCTGCAACATAGTAAGCTCAAGGCTAGTCTGAACTGCATACTGAGACCCTGTCTCAAAAAGACCAAAAACAAAACGAAACACACCTGAGGATCTTCGCAATGAGCTACAGCCCTAACCTCCCCCTCCCTTTTTTCTTAATTTTTAAATTTTGAGACAGTCTTTTTAAATCATTACATTGCCCAAACGGGGTTCAAATTTCAGATCCTCCTGCCTCAGCCTCTCAGATGCTGACTGTGAGTTATAATCCCAATTCAGCCGCTTCCCTGGTCCCTGCCTTACCATACTTCTCATCTTAATTTTGTTTTTTCCCCAACCAGTCTTTCCAATCCTACAGCCTCAATCCTTCAATTTCTTTCTCACAAACCTGTGCTATCTTTGTAGCAATCCTAGATGCTTTTCCTTCCTTCCTTCCTTTCATTTTTCTTTCTTTTCCTCCCTCGGTTCTGGGGATCAAACTCAGGACCTTGTGCTTGCCAGGCAGCTGATATGCTTATGCCCCTGGGCTATATACCCTGGCCCTGCTTTTCCTTTTCTTTATTTCTTTTTCTTTTTTCTTTTTTTCTTCTGGGACCAGGGATTGAACTCAGGCCCTTGCGCTTGCCAGGGAAGCACTTATTCCACTGAGCCATCTCTCCAGCCCTGCTTTTCCTTTTCAATGGCACTTCAGTACAGGAGCAGGGGCCAAGTCCTTGCCTCAAACATTCCTATGGTTAAAAAAAAAAAAACACAAAAAACAGTCAGATAGCTCAGCCGACTAAAGCGCCTGCTGAGACAGAGCACAGTGGCCAGGGTTGGGTCCCCAGCATGCTGTGCCGGCCCTGTCCCGGGGCGCACTGAGATGGCGACTGAGACTGGGCGTGGTGATGCACACCTGTAAGCCCAGTGCTTGGGAGGCTGAAAACAGGAGAAGCTCGAGTCCAATCTATGTAGTGAGATCCTAGAGACCCTGTACTAAATACATAAAAAAAAAGAAGAAGAAAGATTGATTTCTGTTTACTTTTTTGGTTAGTTACTGAGAAACAAGGACCAGTTCCGTCCAGCGAGTCGGGAGTCTCCTGCTGGATGGCACCATGGCCGTCACCATCCAGCCCTGGCAGCAGTGCTGCTGGAGGCCTGCCCCTGGGGAAGGTGGCTCTCTACTGAGCCGTGTCACGCTCCCTCCTCGGCATTCCCGTGTCTGTGCCCAAATCAAAGCCTTGCAGTTAAGTATACTGTACTGTAATAAATGGGATGTCAGGCTGCAGAGGTA